TCTCCAGTCGCTGGTGCAGGGCACCAAGACCTGAGTGGAGCATCCAAGGGGGAGACACATCTCGAAGAACCACCATTACTACATAGGGTGAGTAACTTCTTCTCTAGATCTGCTGCCAATGCTCCTCCTAATGCACCCTAATATACCGTTAGCCTTCTTGGCGACAAGGGCACCCTGTTGACTTGTATCCAGCTTCTCATCCACTGTAATCCCCAGGAATGTAACAATGCTTGGGATTTTTCTGTCCCAAGTGCAGGACTCTGCACTTGACCTTGTTGAACCTCCTCTGATTTCTTTTGGCTCAATCCTCCAATTAGTGTAGGTCACTCTCGGGACTAAGAATTATGAGGATAAGACAAAATAGGTGGATGAGACAGAGGGACATATGACATAAGGTAACAAAAACGGCAGGTGCACAAGTTTTAGTAAGTGATTACAAATTGTCACCTCTTAACCCTCAAGGTTGCAGGTCTGTTTACATTAGGAACAGCTAAGTTTTGAGGGGCACTTGAAGGTGTAGCTGCTTTTGAAAGGTGTAGAAATATATTTCTGTACTGTAGTTTAAATGAATGACTCAAAGTTCTGCATTAATATACTCAATAAGGAATCTATCTGTAAAAACGAACATTTCCTGAATCAGTTTTTGGTGCCTCCCCACCCTCACCCCACATAGGCACACTTGCTGACAGGTATTTTGAAACAAATTACCAAAATAACAAACTGGCACCCTCTTTCTGCCCTCCTACCTAGCTACCTCTCCCCCTAACTTAGTGTCATCTGCGAATTTGCAGAGGGTGCAACCTATCCCCTCATAAGGACATTAATAAAGTTGTTGAACAACCTGGCCCCAGAACCAACCCTTGGGGCCTGCCACTTCACGTCAGTTGCCAACCAGATATTGAGCCATTGATCACTATCCATTGAGCCTGGATCATTTGTACCAAAAAATTAAATTCTGTGCACAATATTTTAAAGTTCTGCACATTTTTGGTCAAAATAACATGGTATGAGCATGCCAGTTTGTTATTTTGGTAATTTGTTTCAAAATACCTGTCAGCAAGTGTGCCTATGTGGGGTGAGGGTGGGGAGGCACCATAAACTGATTCAGGAAATGTTTGTTTTTACAGATAGATTCCTTATTGAGTATATTAATGCAGAACTTTGAGTCATTCATTTAAACTACAGTACAGAAATATATTTCTACACCTTTTAAAAGCAGCTACACCTTCAAGTGCCCCTCAAAACTTAGCTGTTCCTAATGTAAACAGACCTGCAACCTTGAGGGTTAAGAGGTGACAATTTGTAATCACTTACTAAAACTTGTGCACCTGCCGTTTTTGTTACCTTATGTCATATGTCCCTCTGTCTCATCCACCTATTTTGTCTTATCCTCATAATTCTTAGTCCAAAAATCTTATAATCTGTATCTGTTGCCATAAAAACCATAGCATAAATACGATGTAATATGGCTGTGGTCTTCAGATGTTAATATAATATAATTTTGAATAATATTTAACCTGGAGATGGGCTCTTTAGCCCTCTGAGCCACATTAATAGAGCAGTATGAGAGACCATCCATTGTGTCATCTCAGTACTTATTCCATGTCTAGAGGACAGATGTGGCCTCTGGCAGGCAGGGTTGACCCAGTTTCTAAGCATTATGCTTTGAGTAATTTTCTAATATTGGACCCACAATAGAGGCATGATTGCCCATCAACAAAACAGGCACCACAAATAAAATGAGCAAAGAAGCCAACTCTTTAGTTCACCATAAAAATAAAAACTGCTATTTGAAGATGCTTGTTATTTCATGAGAAATTTGCTAGATTATGTCAGTGGTTCCCAACCGCTGGGCTGCGGCATCTCTGGGGGCTGGGGCTAGGGTGCACTGCGGCTGTCGGGAGAACCGTGTCCTGCCCCACCTCTCAGCCAGTCAACGCCGGGTGGGGTGAGGGGGTCTCATCCCGGCCATGGAAGAGCGCTTCCCTGGGAAGGGCTGTGCAGGGAAGTCCTCTTCTGCTGCTGGGAGGAAATCCCATGCTGCATGACCCTCCTGCTGCGGAGTGAACTGCTCTTCTGCTGCCAGCAGGAGACCTCGTCCCTGCCCAGCATTGGTTGGCTGGTCACGTGTCTCCCAACAGCCATGGTGGGAAGGGAGGCACTAGGCGCAGTGTGCTTCAGCCCCCAGAGCTGCTTCCATGCAGGTAGCAATGCAGGGCTAGGTTGGG